AAAAAAAGAGCAGAAGTAAAATAAAGTGACAGTAGGGAGGCTATATATACAGGGGGGTACCGTTGCAGAGTCAATGTGCGGGGGCACCGGCTAGTTGAGGTAGTTGAGGTAATATGTACATGTGGGTAGAGTTAAAGTGACTATGCATAAATACTTAACAGAGTAGCAGCAGCGTAAAAAGGATGGGGTGGGGGGGCAGTGCAAATAGTCCGGGTAGCCATGATTAGCTGTTCAGGAGTCTTATGGCTTGGGGGTAGAAGCTGTTGAGAAGTCTTTTGGACCTAGACTTGGCACTCCGGTACCGCTTGCCGTGCGGTAGCAGAGAGAACAGTCTATGACTAGGGTGGCTGGAGTCTTTGACAATTTTGAGGGCCTTCCTCTGACACTGCCTGGTATAGAGGTCCTGGATGGCAGGAAGCTTTGCCCCAGTGATGTACTGGGCCGTACGCACTACCCTCTGTAGTGCCTTGCGGTCGGAGGCCAAGCAGTTGCCATACCAGGCGGTGATGCAACCAGTCAGGATGCTCTCGATGGTGCAGCTGTAGAATTTTTTGAGGATCTGAGGACCCATGCCAAATCTTTTTAGTCTCCTGAGGGGGAATAGGCTTTTATAGCATAAAGCTATTATAGTGATTCCTTGCTTCAGCATGTCCTCTACATACAGTAGTAGATCTACAAAACACATTCTAAACAATGTATTTGTATAAAACTGAAACAACCATTTCCACAGGGCATATGTTTAGTTGTTGACGACCAATCACAGTGTGGGACAATATACTGATGACATCAATTGTTTCCTAATAGGCCTCACATCTGCTGATACAATACAATTACCAAGCCACTGTAATGATACCATTTCATGTATTCCATATGAAAGGTTAAGGCCATTTTCTGAATATCAATAGGTATTTGTGCACGAGATAAGAATATCACTGCGTAAAATGGCCTGTTTCTGAGTGTGTACATGTAAGTCAGAATATCTTTAATGATAAGAAGTAGAAGCTCAGTATTGAGAAGTCCAAATAAAAACAGATCTTGACCAGTGTTGATTAGTCGGCTCTGGAAGGTCATGCATGGATCTTTACACATGCTAATAGCCTCTAACATCTTGTCTATTGTACTCATATCACACCCCAGTTCAGCTCAGTAGGCAATCTACTCCAAACATTTATTTAGTAGGCCTATAACCTAGTTCATACCTTTTAAAAACATCTTAATAAGAATGATTGACTATAAAGTTACGTAAAATCATCAATTAAAGATCCAATATCAAATCAAACTTCAATTCAAACTTTATTTGAAGTGCATTTAAAATAGTAACACACTTTAAAACAATCAAATAAAAAACAAGCATGGCAATAAAAGAGATCAAATGTTATAAAAGAACATAAAACAAAGGCGTCATTGATTAAAAGCTAAAAAGGCTGGTTGACAAATGGGATTTTAACACCTCAAGCAGTTTCACAGTACAATGCAAAGTTCCATATACAAAATGTATAATAAAACATATCAAAAGTATGATCCACTTTATAAAATAAACAAACAATGATGAATAATAACCAAAAAAAAATACTGCAGCAAATGAATAAATAAACAGTAGCTCTGCTCTTAAATTCTCACTGGTAGGCCCCTTGATTTCTTATAGTTTCACTTCCAAGTAGCCTAATGCCTAAAAAGCAGCCCTGCTTGACACTGGTACTACCACAGTTACGGTCTCTGTAGTCCTGGCAAACTACACTTTATACCGGCAATATGCACAGCGCTTCATAATTCTCTGAACTGGAATAAACTGTGCCTCTGATACAGATTCCAATGCCTTGCGCCAAACCTCAACAGGGGGCTTGAAATTATATTGATTCAGATGTTTCTGGAACCAATTTACACGAGCCATGACATGAGAAATGTGTGTTTTCATGTGCTGGACCAACAAGCACATCACAAGAGAACAACTGTGTTACTATGCCTGGTGTTATCTCTACATCTGGTTGAATGCTTAGTAGGCCCGTCTGTCAGTCGAGAACCACTTTGCAAGTAAGTACATGATAAGCATAAAACTTCTACTTTGATCAGTGCTTATAACCTCTCTCAGCATGTCTACCTTTTAATGTTGTTCTGTCAGCTGTACAATGGGGAGATAGATCCTTGTTTGGATACATTCATGTGAAGACACTGTACAGATCAGTCCTATCTTCACTTGCTATGACAAACAGCAGGGATCAGCCATTATTGACGGCGACCCTGGAGCAATTAAGGTTAAGTGCCTTGCTCAAGGGCACATCAACACATTTTTCACTTTGTCGGCTCGGGGATTCAAACCAGCGACCTTTTCAGTTACTGGCCCATCGCTCTTAACTGCTAGGCTACATGCTGTCTTTCAAGTCCCTTAAGAGTGAATAAGGAGTAAACACATGTCCAATTTTTCCATTCTTGTGCATTGAAATGAGAAAACCCTGATGAGATTTTAGCGGGTAGTTGGCCCATGTCTGCAGGTGCTTTCAGTGCATCAACTTTAAGCTGAATATTTCTTAGTATTCCATCATTCAGCACACCAATATTCTTAGACGGTAAAAACGTGTTTTGCTGTCCCCAGTAAAAGACTATGCATAGGGTCCACTACAGCCATGTCTATTGGTATGAAATGTGTCCATTTAAATAGCTCTGGCCCCAGTTTCAGTCTCTATTGTTTTCCTCTCTGCCTTGGTCTTTGCCTGTGTCCACATACTCCCTTGCAGTTTGTGAACTTCATTCTGACGTTGCAGTGCATGGTTGTCCGTCCAGTGTATGATGGAGTAATCTGCTTTTCACTGCTCTTCAAATACTACCACTGCACAATTGAGAGCTTCCTGAGCGGTTGCATCACGGCCTGGTACGGGAATTGCTCCGTCCACGACCGCAAGGCCCTCCAGTGGGTGGTGAAGACGGCTCAGTACATCACTGGGACCGTGCTCCCACCCATCCATCTAATCGAAACGGTGAGCGGTTATCTCCCTTACCGTCGGGCAGACGGTAGCGGAGCATGAGGTCTGATACCAACAGCCTCAGAGACAGTTTCTATCTACAAGCCATCAGACTGCTGAACTGTATTATACTTTCACTGGGGACGATGCATCACCAAACGAGGGCATGGATTTCCAACAACTCATGTCATAGCCAGGCTGAATCAGATGCCAGTCTACATGGTGGCTGATATGGACGAAAGACTGATGACACAAGTAGCTCAACTAGCTATTCCAACAACAACAGCAGCTACAGCTAAGCACTTCTCCAGTGACTGCACCTGAACGGGTGACGGGCGTTCGTCGAGCAAGAAGGAATGAGCTATCTGCAAGATCAATGTTTACTTTTGCAACTTGCACATTAGTGGTAGCTAACATTGAATATTTAACTCCTGTTAATTTACTAATGATGCTCTTTTCTGTTTTAATAGCGGGCAGTAAGGGATCTACACATTTATGCTGTTGAGGAGGACAAATACAGTATAAGCCGCAAGAAAGGTGAGGACAAATGTGTTTGTTTATGACTGATTTGAATTTGACAATAGTTTTTTTGTGAAAAAGTCCAACCACGCAATCTGGGTAGGTTCTTGTATACATTATATTTTAGTCATTTAGCAGACATTCTTATCCAGAGCAACTTACAGTTAGTGAGTGCATACATTATTTTTTATACTGGCCCCCCGTGGGAATCGAACCCACAACCCTGGCGTTGCAAACGCCATGCTCTACCAACTGAGCTACATCCCTGCCGGCCATTCCCTCCCCTACCCTGGACGCATTGTGCGCCGCCCCATGGGTCTCCTGGTCGCGGCCGGCTACGACAGAGCCTGGATTTGAACCAGGATCTCTAGTGGTACAGCTAGCATTGCGATGCAGTGCCTTAGACCACTAGCGCCACTCGGGAAGATTGTATGATGGCCATCTGAGCATTCTAAAATATGTTACATGAAGTATTGTTGCACATATCATGCATTAACTTAATTTCATTTTTTCTTTGTCAACTCATGTCTCAGGAACAACAGTCCGCACAACACCTGTGTACTGTCTGAGAGTGGAGCATGGCACATTTTGAAGGTGAGAAGTCCTATAAAGACATGGACTGACTGCAACATAGTTCTACATCTTACACTTTTCTCAACGATTTGGAAGCATATAACCATTGCTAATAGACCACACTGTCTCCTCAGATGCAGCTGCAAATCGGTATTGGACTGAAAGAGAGGCATCCGTCATCAGACACCAATTGGCAGTCAGGATCTCTAGTCTCCACAGTGTTACCACCCCATTATTCCCCGTATCCAACAGTCGGTGGAGAAACCAGCTTTTGAGTGTTCAGAGATAAAACACCCAAGTTCTTCCGACTGGTATGGAAGTGGCTTCAGAGGTGTAAGGATCATTAGGAGTCTGAAACTAGTGTATTTGGTGCAGTATGTCCTGTAGGGAAGGGTTGGGCGGTATCCAGGTTCTTACCTTCACACCATTCCTGTACCACACCGGGATATACAGTATTACCGGCAGCGCACACAAGGGGTGCTAGTTCTTTCCAAACGTATAAAAGTAATTTGAAATCATAGACATTTGACACACAAAACAAATTTAGGTAGCAGGGATCTTGATCCAGGAGGGGATTGATAGTCTCTGCTGTAACCAAGAAGCTTGATCTTGCAAGCTAGCCACTTAGCAAGTTAGCAAACAAAATGCATAGCTGGATCCCTGAGCTGGAGAATCTTAGATAGTTAACTTATAGTTATAAGCAGTGGCGTAGCACCCCGTCAAGCCTTCTGTAGGGCGATAGTTAAAAACAGAGCCACTGTGTTCTAAACAGAGAGCATAGTGCTCATTAGGATAATAAGCCCCCGAATAAATTAGTCTATAAACGAGTCAAATTGGAGCTGAGAAACTACTTGATTCAAAGCAACAATGTCTGGGTCTGTCTCAATGTGAAGGAAGAACACTCTTATTATTAGACCATCTGTTCCAGTCCTCCAAGGCTAGGGGGTGCTGTCAGAACTCAGGCATCTTGTCGTCATACTGTGGCGGCGGAGTGATGGGTTCAATGGTCACCTTCGCATCAGTAGGGTTGCGAATGTTAAAACGGAAGTCCTTCAGATGGAGTTTCTCAGACTTGATTCTGCGTACCCTGCGGGGCCGTAGTATCCGGCTGGCCCGGCTGCTGTTGTGGGTGGGGGGGTTGGCTGCAGCGGCAGGCTGGGGCTCAGGAGTGGGACTGCTAGGATGAGCCTCCCTAACTGGGGCAGAACTTGGTCCCTCCCCCTCGTTTTCCACAGCACTGATGAGGTCCTCGTAGGAAGGCAGCTGGAAGGTGCTCTGGCGTAAGTTGCTCTGGCGGATGGGGTACTGACCACTGGTGACCGCCTCCTCATAGCTGGGCACGTTGTAGACTGGGGCTGGCTCCTCTAAACTGCAAAACAGTGTACAGGGACAGCGGTTTTATATAAGCAACATGTCACATTTTAGCCATAATTTACATTTCTTCATGTTTTTTTAAAGGATACTAGAAACGCCTAAAATGGCTAAGTACTGATTCTTACCTGATCATAATCCCCAAAACATCCAGACAATAAGAAGTTTTGTATTGCTATGTTTTTGCTATTGTTATTAACCTCGCGAATGAGAGCCAATTGTAATGCAGGAAGTTGAACACACAACAACTAGTCAAACTCCCGTCGTGGTAAAAAGCTTTGCAGCGTCTCAGAGTTCAATGTTTTTTTTCTTCTCTCATGGATTTGTATTCCTTAATTACTACTGGTATGTAATGACATCGGTGCTAGTTTTGCAGGTGGAAATGTTGCATGTAGCTCCTTTAACTAGCTTGGATTGGGAGAGATAACTGGTGCTTTAACAGAACTGTGTCAATAAAGGGACAATACAGGAACCTTATCAGGAACATATTCATTTCCAGGCATCATCCTGGGAACTACAGTGAGCTCCAAAAGTATTGGGACAGTGAATTTCTGTTGGTTTGGCTCTGTACTCCAGCACTTTGGATTTGAAATGATACAATGACTGAGGTTAAAGTGCAGACTGCCAGCTTTAATTTGAGGGTATTTTCATCCAGATTGGATGAACCGTTTAGATATTACAGCACTTTTTGTACAGAGACCCACCCATGTGTATTAAAGTAGTCTAAAGTTTAGTATTTGGTCCCATATTCCTAGCACACAATGATTTCATAGAGTTGGAAGTGTTTAGAAACACATTATATTCTTATTTACAATAAAAGTGACTCCAAAATTATACAATACATTATTTACCATTCATTTCTATTGGGCACAAAATAATCTCAAACACAACCAAAACAATAAGCAAATGCATCCAACAAGTTTGTAGCCACAAGCTTGATGTAGTCATTGCGTGCTATGAAATATGAGACCAAATACTTAACTTTTTACTACTGTCCCAATACTTTTGGAGCTCACTCTAAGTCATATATGGGTTTATAGTGAAAACAAAGCCTCTGAACCCCTTCTTGGATGATTAAAAAAAAGATATGTCACTGTTAGACTGTGATTATCTAAATCGATTGAAGCACTCACTTCTCTCCTGCCTCCCCAGCCACATGGTCCACGAAGGGGACGCCTACGGCCCGTGTCTCCTGTCTTCTCTGGCGCTTCCTCCGCTTGTTCCTCACCCCCAGCCAGATAGACAGCAGCAGCATGGCCAGCCCCGCCCCCACCAGCACATAGGCTATTGATAAGGTCTTCGCTGCTTCCTTGCCCTCCTTACCATCCCCATCCTCACCATGGTCTGCTGGCACCGTTATACTGGAGTTGCCTGAAGTCTTGGTTGTCTGGGTAGCATCCCCGGGAACCATTGTCCACACGATCATGACGATGCCCAGGGCTATGAGCCCCACCCCCAGGGCACACAGGGCATACGAGGAGCCCGACTGGCTGACCCCATGGCTGGAGCTGGCTGGAACACCACTGGTACACATCCCCCCACCTGGACCCAACAGGAGTCACACCACCAGACACAGTAGACTGGGGAGAGGAGACTCAGGGAGGAACCGTAGTCCTAACCTGCAATGTGGGAGAAAGGGGGGTGGTTCTCGCATTTAGTCAGGAGAAGGGACATAGCAGTACAATAAAACCGGCAAAGGGCTAGACTAGACTGGGCTAGACTAGACTGAAATCAGATGACAATGAACAACTTCCTGGAATAGACACAATGTGGCTGGGAAGGGGGCCAAAGCCAGAGGAGTTCAGGGAGGTTTACATTAACCTGTGTTTTAGTTCTTCACAAACACATTTTACATAATAAAGAGCTGCTGGAATAGTGCCAACCAAAGAAAGCTGAATGAATATGTGAATGAGCCATTCATTGACCAAAAAGCACCTGGACAAAATGTAGGCTAGGTCTAGAGACTATTGCAGTCAAGTTCTAGGAAATCTTCCTCAAGACTAGAAAGTTTGAATAAAGGCTAGCCCTGCTGTTTAAAATCCATGAAAATGTATTGTTGGAGGTAGTGGTCATGGCAACTTAATACATACCATGGTAATTGATCAACATATAGTCATTAAATACTTCACTTTGTGAATGTTGGTATTTCCAGTGACAATATATTACCCAGTCAATGTCCTGTATGTTTCTTTGATGGTCTAGCCCTCCTAAATTATGCTAAACCAACATTACACCCCCAGGTTGTGTAATCAGGTTTTATTACTACAGTATAACAAACAGAGCATTGTAAACTTCTGGCACTTCCACATGTTTCTCTCCAGTTTATAGGCAGCTAGAACATGTCACAGTGTAACTTTCAGGAAGAGCACTTCACAATGTAGCTCAGTTGGCAGAGCATGGCGCTTGCAATGCTAGGCAGTGGGTTCAATTCCCGGGAGCACCCATACGTACATGTTTTCACGCACGACTAAGTCACTGAGAAAAGAGAGTCTGCTAAATTGCATATATTGTAAGGATATTCCATTTTGACAGCTTCAAAATGACTGATTCATATAATAGTGATACACCTCCATATCATGCTATGAATCATTGTTAATGTGGCAAATCCAGAGTTTTTGCCCCTGCCCGCACCTCCGGAAACCTGTTTATCATAGCTAAGGATCTGGATCATGTTCTGCGCACGTGTTATTCTACACACACTCCTTGGCTGCTGCTCACACTCCCCCTCCCTTCAGGTTTCTCTCTTTACTCACCCCCTTCTGAAACATGATGATGTAACCTATGTCTCTGCCTCGTATTTCTGAACAGCTGAAACAGAAAAAAAAACTCCTGTGATTTCAACGAACATTCCAAAAAATATATATATTATGAAGGCCATAGCTCCTTGTCGGTCTGTTGTAATGGATATTGCAGTTGCACAAGCAGGACGCAGTCCGTACACATTGCATTGGAGCCAAAAACATATCTGCATTTTGTGTGATGTAGGCTAATCTTTATAGTTGCTGCCATTTCGTAGCTACTAGGCAGAGTTCCTTAAAAAAGAACACTACTACTTTGACTGGCTGTCTGACTACTGCTTAGCCAATGCTTGCAATGATGATGAAAAAATAACAACATTAACATCTCTAATTAGACTGCATGTGTGTGTCTTGCTTGTGTTTGATATGGGCAATTCCATGATAAAGGAACTGCGCTGAGATTCTTCACTTAAAATGTATGCCAAACAAAAACCATTGATATAAAACTTTAACAAACCATACAACTCTATGCACAGGGACTACTTTTAACAATTTACAGTAAACATTTGACAAAAACACATTTCCTGGAAGAACTGTGCAAATGCAAGTTTGCTAACAGAATTTCGGTAAAATCTCCCTCAGTTTTTTATGTGTACACCTTTTCCAAAAAAGTTAAAATCTGCTCCGAATTAAGATTCAACAATGTCTTCAGAAAGAATGGTGTGTCATCTATGACATGACACATTGGCTTTGAAAAAAATATATTTTGGTTATTGAACTACAGTAAGTGAAGTGAATTTACATCCGGTAACAGAATTGCAGTAAAGGAATTTCATCATGGGTCCCTGATCTGTCCCACACAGAAATGCATAATTATGAATATGAATGTAATTCTCTTCATGGTGGTGTTCCTAAATAGGTACACAAAAAGGTATAAACATGCAATATCCTCCTTTGCATATTTGGGTATTATTCTACACTGGCTATTATTTTAATGAGATCTGCCCCCAAAACAAGACCAAATTTGGTTGGTCCGAACTGGACCAAATCTGAACCAATCATAGACTATGTTTCACAAGTTTGGATGTCAATGTACAGCACAGTAGAGCTCAGTAGAGTACAGTACAGCTCAGAAAAGTAGAGTTCAGTACAGTACAATAGAATAGAGTTCAGTATAGTACAGTACTAAAGTAGAATATACTCTACTTTTCTTGACTGTACTGAACTCTACTGTACAGTGCTGTGCTGTCCAAACTTGTGAACCCAACTGTAGCCAATTCAATTGCAGAAATTCCGTTAATGATTTTTTCGGAAATTCCATTACCGACGGAATTTAGTTTGAATCACTTAATAATTCATAAACAAAATTGATATATACCTTTACTGGTTAATTCTGTGTCCTTTCATTACGTGTGTCATGCACAAAGTAGATGTCCTAACCGACTTACCAAAACTATAGTTTGCAAAAATTAATATCAAAATGAAGTGCGTGAGGGAAATAAAAGTAGTGATGGAAATTTCACAATTCTTTACCTAGCGGCAGGTAGCTTAGTGGTTAAGAGCATTGTGTCAGTAATCGAAAGGTCGCTGGTTCTAATCCCCGAGCTGACTAGGTGAAAAATCTGTCGATGTGCCCTTGAGCAAGGCACTTAACCCTAATTGCTCCTGTAAGTCGCTCTGGAGAAGAGCGTCTGCTAAATGACTAAAAGTGTAAATATGTGGGTTTTTGGTATCGGAATTTCAAGGCACAAGGCAATGTTTCTTAAACTTACAGAAGACAAAAAAAAATATCCAAAACTAAATATAAGTGTTGATCTTATGTAGCTGGCAGGGGTCTTTACTTCAACATTGTGTTTTGATGTATTTCTAATACTTTTTCTGGTAGATGTTTTCTAAGACCCCTTTTCTATCTGTTTGACCGGAAATCAAAGCCTTTGCTTATTCCTAATTTATAGGATGGAAAATGGTTGAAAAATTAATTTTAATATAATTTCTAAAAAATATATAGACTATGAACTTCACGTTGGTGCTCATGGGTCCTTTTACATGGAAATGATCATATGCTGCCTAGATAGCTGCATGTACGTTTTGGATTGGGGCAAAAAAACAATCTGCGTTTTAACCACACAGGCCCTACTAACTGCTATGTCGCTTCTCAATGATCTTGCAAGTACCGCACGAGTAGGCTCCCTAGCTTTTCCACCTCTGGGCAGCTGAAGGTTGGCAGCCGAGCATGAGCATGTATCCGGACCGAAGGTTGGCAGCCGAGCATGTATCCGGACCGGTACCCAGTCTGACAATGGGCGAGTTTGTTTTGCGTCACCTGGCGCACTATTATTCCTTCCGTTGTTTGTTTAGAGTGCCTACTATTTGTGATGATACGCTTCATAGTTATGCTGCCAGATAATGTAGTAGTGCGAGTTGCAGAAAAAAATAACTAGCCATTCTTTGCAATGCTGATAAAATAACATTAAATGGCTATTTTGACTGCCTGTCTGTGTCTTGCTTGTGTTTGATATGCTTGCCTAAAAAGCTGCATGTAACTCAGCATATAAGAACATGAAATCGCTAGACTGCTTATGTCGTGCTTATGTTTCCAACTGTAACAACAGACAGTTTGGACGAACATGTTGATCATGTCGTTTGTGTGCAACATGATAGCTGCATGTAGCCTGTCATCCCTTCTGAAAATAAAAAACATAAAATCGTGCTTGAGGCATGGAATGCATAGTTCCCCTCCCTTCCTTCCCCTCCCTTCCTCCCCTTCCCTTCCCTTCTCCCCCTCCCTTCCTCCCCTCTCCCTTCCTCCCCTCTCCCTTCCCTTTCTCCTTCTCCCACTAATAGGTATTCAGTGTACAACATGAAGTTTCCCTTCCATGTCATGGAGGGGGAAGCGGCAGCGGAGCACTCAGCAAAGCTATGTAGGCAGCGAAGTGGGCAGCAGCTACTTTTTGTAAAATCCTGCACATGCGCAGAATTCTCCGTATAATTAGCCACTGCAAGTCAGGTTGCAGAAAATCCGGAAACCGCAGCCATTCCGTATATTAAATTGTTTGACTTGTTGGATCACTATAAGAGGTGCTTGGGGTGGGAATAAAATACAGGTTTTGAAAAGTGTGAATAGCTTCGCAGGTGTTAACATGCACTAAACATACACAATCCTAGAAAGGAATGACTAATAGAGGAAGTGAATCAAAATTGTACTGTGAAGGATGGCAGTTGAAGGCATGCAGTGCACTGATCACATTACCATGGAAACAATTATTGACATGAAAGTGATGTGACAATATCAGAAGCATGAATGTATGAAAAAGCCTTCTATAGCAACAATGGCTAGGCCTTGATGTGCCTTCAGGTGCTCTACAACAAATATAATATAGTGGCTTCAGAAAGTATGTATACCCCTTGACTTATTTCACATTTTGTTGTGTTAAAGCCTGAATTCAAAATGGATTAAATATGTATTTTTTCTCATCCATCCACACACAATACCCCACAATGACAAAGTGAAAACATGTTTTTAGAAATGCTTAACATTGATTGAAAATGAAATATCTCATTTACATAAGTATTCACACCCCTGAGTCAATACTTTGTAGAAGCACCTTTGGCAGCGATTAGAGCTTTCAGTCTTTCTGGGTAAGTCTCTAAGAGCTTTCCACACCTGGATTGTGATACATTTGCACATTATTCTTTAACTCTGTCAAATTGGTTGTTGATCATTGCTAGACAACCATTCAGGTCTTGCAACAAGCGCTCAATTGGTAGAGCATGGCGCTTGTAACGCCAGGGTAGT